TCTACTTGGTACAGTCCCAATTTCATCTAGATTACTGATTGGGTATAGATTTTTGAGTATTTATAGTATTCTATCCAGTTAATAGATTCTTTTCCCTTTTCTATGCATAAATAATTTTGAAAACGTAGGAAAACATTTGACTAGGCTTATTTTAAAGAGACTGCCTAGAATGTATGTTTAAATTTATTTTAGTATAACATACATACAGAAAAGTACACAGAGGTGCCTGATGAATTCTCATAAAAGTGAATACATCCTTATAACAGGCACCCGGATCAAGAAATGGAATATTGCAGCATCCGAGAAGCCATCTTCATGCCCTGTTCTGTTCATTCTCCCACAAAGGATAACCACTATCCTGACTTCTGACAAGATAGATGAGCTTTGCTTGGTTTTGAATTTGCTGTAAATAGAATTGTACACTTCGCATTGTAGTGTCTGGCTGCTTTCACTCAATATTATGTTTGTGAGTATCACCATGTCGATGCATGTTTGCAGTTGTGTGTTCGTTGCTATCGCTGAACATTTCATAGTGTGAACACACCACAGTTTGTTCTGGTGCTGATAGGCATTTGGATATTTTCTAGGTTGGAGCTCTCATGAGTAGTACTGCAATGAGCATTCTTCTGCTTCTCTTTTGATAAATATATGAACACATTTCCCCTCAGTGTATGCCAAAGATGGGAAATGCTGGGTCATGGGATATGCATCTAATTAAGTCTAGAAGATACTGCTAGCTTGCCAAAGTGTGTATTAATGAGAGAAAGGTCATTTTTGTCCAGAGTATTCTGTTCTCATGAGCATAAAAATGAGGTATCTTGTTTTCTTTTGATTGTGGAAGTAAATTGATAAAGAGGATTCGGTGAAATATTTTTACTTAAAATAACTTTTTAAAACTCCTCACCCTTTTTTAATGATCTTTTCACCTTACAGTAAAACCTGTTTTTACTTACAGTATCTGAGAATGAGAAAGCGTAATGGGCAGAGGCAGGCAGCATCTTTGCCTTTCCTTCCAGAGATTTGTACACTGGGGAGAGTTTCTTCAGACTCCCTCCGGGTTGTGCTCAAATTAAGAGTTCAGATTTCTGGAATTGTTCTCCAGGGAATTGGGAGATACCTTGGAAACAGAGGACAGAATGTCCACCCCGCCCAGCCGTACCCTAACCCTGTTACAGTGAGCAAATCATCCAAGAGCACCAGGCAATCTGACCTGTTAGGGTTGCTCACCATTTTCATGGTTTAAGACAACTTCATTTTCATTTTTCAAGTGCCTGTAACAATCAAGAAACTCAACTTTGTATTCTCTTCCTTCCACAACTTCATGTAACCAAACAAACCTTTGGCTGGGACTCTCAGTTACTCCACTCACTGGTTGTGTGTGTTGTGCGCGCGTGTGTGCACGCACGCGCGTGTGTGTGTATATACACACATACACATGTGTGTATATGTATGTATATAGACAGACATCAGATAATTAGATACATGTATTGTTATTCCAGCACATTATATCCTGCTTAAAATGGTAGGAAAAAATCCCCAGTACTCATTTTTTCTACATGCAAGTATAGGATTCCTAGATTATTCTGAAGAAAAGGTGATGGGAACAAATTTCATAGCTTCACTAAAATCAATGCTTGTTTTTAACGCAAGCCCTGGGTTCAGACCTCAGCACTAGATTTTTTTTTTTTCTTTTTAACCTGTGATACATTTTCTAATGTTTGAGCTGTAGCTTTCAGTCTGTAAAATTTGGATTCACATCCTTGCCCTGTCTGCCACATAGGGTTACTGTGGAGATCAAATGTGATCCTTTATGTGAAATGGTAAACTATAAAAGAACTAAGCCTAAGCCTTTGAGAGCTTGGCTTAGCAGGCCCTGCATTTTAAGCTAGAACTTGACCTACAGAGTAGTGAAAACTTACTCTGTACCTTGAGATCTTGTGCACACACACAAGTCCAAACTTTTAACCTTGCACCAGACATGGCTGGCTGACCTGTTGAGTCGTAAGTTCCTTGTCCAGGTCCTTTTGGCCTCTACCACCCCTCCCCTGCTTGGGGGAAAAGAGGGGCAAAAATTGTTGGCTTTGGTGATAGCCCCAAACTATTACTCTTGCAGGTGATTTCACTTTCTGCAGGTTAGACGGTTGTATAAAGTAGGTAGTCTACAGAATTAGTGCTGTTCATATCTAAAACATCTTTCTTGCTTTTTAAATTTTCTTTTACCTATCCAGCATTTAAGTGCAGAGAATATAAAAATGCTTCTATGGCATAAAAAGATCTGTATGAAAGCATTGACGATCATTATCGATAATTGTTAAAATGCTAAATGAGCGAAGCAGGGACAGAAACACAGCCTTGTGAACACTTCCCGACATATATGCCTTTTTACAAGTGAGGAATTTTTATTTTAACCAAAAAAAGAAAAAAGAAAAAGAAAAAGAGAAGGATATGATCTTATTCTGCATTAGGTTTGGCCGTCGGTGGGCGGATGTGGTGTGCTTCCCAGGACTGTCTCGTGTGTTCTTCCATCAGTCACCTTTTGGGCGGGGGGCACCTTCCCGGACAGGCCACATAAGGTATCAACTGGAAGATCACAGCCAGAAATAAGACAACTGGCGACACTCATTGAGACCTGGAGACACAACATGAATTGTGTTCATTTTTAGTCAATGTTCTCATGGTGCTGGGTAGGTTTTGAAAATCAAATTGCATAAAAATACGGAAGATGGTCTGGGAAAGTAGATGGCAGTGACACAGACTCAGCTTCTAAAAATGTTATAATCTATTAAACTAATAATTTCTGTTGCAATCAGAAAACAGAACTTCAGGTTGTAGGGATGAGGTTAACAAGTTTCTAATCCCTTTCCCAAAACGGGATCTTAGGGTTCAGAATCCTAATGCCCCTTCATGATAAAACACCACCAGTGAGGTCTCTAACAGAACCCAGTAATCAGATGCATTAAGATATCTGCATCAAAATTAATGAACGAACATTCACACTAAGAGGCTTAATAAAGACTATAAGTACCCATTGGTTGGGGTTAGTATTTACTCCCAAGTAAAATCCAGTCATGTCATATTTTGCTAACAAAGGTGTTATGTGAAACTTCTGATTTGTAGAGCCTTTTGAGTTATGGAATTGCATGTAAGGTACATATATTTGGGTACCAGCTCCTGACAGAAGTGTTTTTTAATATATGTCAGGCAACCATGTGGCAAATTCTCAAGAGATCATAGAGTTAGGAGCACCAGATCTCGAGTCACTCTGCTTGGGTTCAAATTCCAGCCTTGCCAAGGGACTCTGGGTAAGCTATTTAACCTCCCAGGGTGTTAGTTTTTCATCTTTAAAGCTGCAGGAATTTTCTTATAAAGATTAAACAGGATGCACATATAAGGTACAATATGTGCATTGCACTAGACACTGAACAAACCTGCTTCTTTTCTCTGTGTAATGGAGATGATAATAGTGCTCGTCACAAAGGTGTTTTATGAGATTCAAATAAGTAAATAGATATAACATGCTTAGAATAGTGTCTGCCTATAGTAAGCATTCATTACCTAGTAGAACTTTCCTATCAATAGAGACGTTTTTAGGGAAGAAAGAGAAAAGAGACATCTGTTGAATGAATGAGTAGTGCCTGGTAAAATTATGATAATTCATAATTAGACATTTGCAGACTGTAATTCCATCCCATTCGGTCACAATCCTTCCCCTCCCCCCCCCTTCCCCAGCACCTTATCTTTCCTCTTTTGCACAGCACTTGGTAAACTTGGCACTTGTCTTCCTCACCACAACCATGCAGGTGTGTTAGGCTGTCTGGGAAGTTGTCCCAGATGCTGACAAACCCTTGGCCGTAGGATAGAAAGGAAAAAGAGAAATTTTGGCTAATA